AAATTGAATGATTCTCAAGACTATCTATACAGATACAGACCTAGCCATGGGTGTGGCTTTGTGATGTATATAGCTAAACACACATCATTCTTACTGTATTGTTTACTTAAACAATAATTTCATCAAGAAACTATGGCCTATTATGGAAAAAAGCTTTGATGAATGTTTAAGCTTTTTTATTGTTCCTGTAATAGTTTATGTGAAATTGATTTTGAGTGTCATTGGATGTGGTTTGTTGAGTTTCTTAATTTATTCCTTAAGGCATCTAGATATATACTCGAAATACTTTATTTTTCACAATATAGCTGGGCACTTTGCTACACACAAACCTGGTTTACTGTTAGCATTCAAAGTACCCAACGTGTAGAAAATATGAATGCAATTATTAAAAAAGAAGTTTCACATAGTTTAACTTTGTTACACCTGGTTGATGTGATACAAAATCATTTAAATAAAAAGGCGTGATATGCACAAATAAATGAACAACAGAACATGAATCCATCCATAGGCCTGCCTCATGTTGCAACTAAATACTTTCCTGTCATTGATTCTTTAATTCAAGAATACTTGACTCCCATGTTCTCTCTCTCCAACGACAGCAACTTTCTGAATGTTTCCTGTATAATGCTACTGAAATTTCTTACGACTGAGATCAGTGTCCATAAGAACTAAAAAACATTGTTGAGGATAGGTGTCTTGAGATAATTACAAATGGCATCAAATAGGTCTTAAGTCATTATTACAAACTTTAAAACGTGATGATATTGTACAAATTTAGATGGTAGCACTACAAGGATTGTTTCAAGATTACTTTACTAATCACATTGTAATACTTGCGGATAGCATGCATTTATGCACTTGCCTTACCTTAGCTAGCAAAGGAATTGTCTGCTGCCACTTTATAAAAATCTTAATGAAATCACATCTTGCTAGATTTCATATTTCTTTGATATCCAGTTGCTAGTACAAGAATGACAAGATGAATGAAAATAAAGATCTAATTGCTTCTCTCCTGCCAATCAACTTATGTAAATCTAATCAACCTTCAGCAACAAATGTCACTTCACATATTATCGATTTCTGATACTTTTCTCGATTTCGCGTTGCTAACGTATTTATACCCGCTTTACAAAAATCTGTAAGCAAAAAATATGTTGGTCTAAGGAGCATGAATTAACAAAGAAAGCACTTAACCTATCATTACAGCTTAACTGTTATTTCATCCAAGAAATATAAATTACAACATTTAGAGGAAAACAATAATGACAATAACACTGAATCTCAACCTATTGTTGAATCTCAACCTACTATTGAATCTCAATCTACTATTGAACCGCAATCTATTGTTACCAATCTGTTTGTTACCAAATATCGTGGACGATCACCTAAAAGATTAAAGAGCACACTAGAAGACATTACAAACACTCATCAAAATTCTCATAATTCCAATAACATAATTCTGAATGATAATAGTATGCAAGAAAAAAAAGAAAAATAAATGCGCTAAGTGTGGGAATTACAGGCACAATATTAGAACTTGTACTGAATAACTTAAAATGTAATCACTATCATTGAGCACTGTTATGTTATCAACTGCATTACATTTTACTCATTTAATTGTTGCTTTTACTGATGTATAATGAACATGTTTATTGTAATTGATTCACATATTCAATAGTGCTTTAAATTTCATGCCCTCTATTGATTTCAGGTTTTCTAAGTTACATATAACTATGTGATTATTGCTATTTCTAAGTATATATAGTTGTGCGAACGTATATGAATGAAACTTCGCATTGTTTTAAAAAAAACAATTATAGTTCAATTCGGTGTTGGTTATTTTCAGGGCATATGGCCCAAATGGCCATAACAAAAATAACATACCCTTGAAAACACATACTGTGTTACTGCAGTAGCGAGTAAGTTACGTACGTAACTGGATTTTTTACAATAAATTACAGTAGACATGATAATTCACCTAATATACCTTAATCGCATATTGTGTGTGTTACCATAGCAAGTAAGTTCTATAAATTTATATGTCATAGGTTGCTAATACATATAACTTTAAGGTTATGCTGTAATTAAATTCAATTAAGAAGTCGTCTAAAGCCAGTTTTTAAATTGATTACTAACAAGTATATAAATTACTATATGGCTTTAGATGATAGGCAATGTTATTGAAGTTATGCATCACGAATTTATATAAGCGGTATTCTATGAAAGCCAAGAATAAAATCTTATAAATAAGGTATGTTGGACGTGGTTTAGGGTTAGGGTCAGTGTACTGGGTTAGGGTATTTTTATATTGGTGGTTATTAGCGTTAAGTGTATATCAATATTGCTCATGCGATTTGTGTAACAATCTATACTTATATAACGATTTGTATTTATGCAACGATCTTTATTATTGCTCGGTCAGATGACTTTATTCAAAACACAATGCATAACTTTATTTAACAAATCTGAAAAACATATGGGATAAGGGCTTGCTACCCTCGGCGGCTCTAATATACATTATCAACACTCCAAATATGGAGTAAACATTTATCGCATGATACACAAAATTGTCACCAATACCGCTCCGTATGTTCCACCGGTAAAGGGATGACCCACACAATTCATGGGCC